CTGTTCGTTCTTGTACCACTCGGCATTCCATAGTTGATTATGTCTCTTACTCACATTTATCACCTGCCTATCATTCCTTTGTGTCTGCTCTTTCCTCTGTATGTGTCCCTTCCAGATATTCAGAGGCGGTATCTGATCCAAGATGGAAAGAAGCCATGAATGAAGAAATGAAAGCCCTAATGAAAGCAAGAACATGGGAAATGGTGGACCTGCCAGAAAGGAAAGGCACTGTTGGGTGCAAGTGGGTATTCACAGTAAAGCACAGGGAAGATGGGTCAATTAAAAGATATAAGGCCAGACTTGTGGCAAAGGGATTTACACAAAAGGAAGGAATTGACTACAAGGAAACCTTTGCCCCGGTAGCAAAACTCAACACAATCAGGGTCCTACTGTCATTAACTGCAAAATTCTCTTGGGAACTTCATCAGTTGGATGTGAAGAATGCTTTCCTAAATGGTGATCTACATGAAGAGGAATTCATGGAACCCCCACCTGGATATAATGTTGGAAAGAAGGTGCGTAAATTAAGGAAAGTTTTGTATGGCTTGAAGCAATCTCCCCGGGCATGGTTTGAGAGACTTTGTACGGCCATGAAAAAAGTGGGGTACACTCAGAGCAGTGCGGATCATACATTGTTTACAAGGAGGCAGGATGGAAAACTTACAGCTCTCATTGTTTATGTGGATGATATGGTGATTACTGGAAATGATGTGAAAGAGATGAAGAGGCTGAAGGAGTTCTTAGCTTCAGAATTTGAGATCAAGGACCTAGGAAATCTTAGATATTTTCTCGGGATTGAAGTTACTAGATCAAGAGAAGGAATCTACATATGTCAACGAAAATATGTGCTAGATCTCCTAGAAGAAACAGGCATGATGGAGTGCAGGCCAGCAGACACACCAATAGAACCGAACCATGGATTACAAGAATCAATGGGTGAGGAATACTGTGATAAGGAAAGGTACCAAAAATTGGTAGGAAAACTGATATACTTATCCCT